AATATCACCGTAACGAGCGATGGTACGAGACACAAAAGATTTATTCACATTTAAATGCTGGAGTGCTCTAACGATAGCCACTTGTGGTTTCCCAGCCAAATATAAGAAAATCACACTATCACGCTTGAATTCCATGACGAATAACTTTTTTTCTGGAAAATTCTCACCAAAATGCTTTTGTACGCTTGCCATCAATATAATGATCTGTCACTGGAATAATTTTAACAACTGTTGGACTAGTGGCTTAGAAATGACAGCAGTCTGAAGTTGCTTGCATTGTTTTCATCTCACCCTGTAACACATCCATCTGCCACCGAAGCGGAAACCCATTATGAGCTACAAATTCCAAATTTTAGATAAATTCGCGGTACTTCTCGATATTCGGTATTCTGATGATTGTAGCCAATTTTTTCAATGGAATGTCTAAAAATCCGCACAAGGAATTCCTTTGGAGTAATTTGCCCCCTGGAACTGAATTGTCTATATATTTTTCCCCGATATCGTATAGTCCTCAAACAACGGTACCCCCCGCATTTTGATGACATTTTAAGGAAAGTTCCTAATCGGTACTACAGTCTGTGAGAAAAAATTGTCCAGGTCTTGATGTATCCCCGATATAACGGTGCCTCCCTATATTCGATATTTTCATGATTTTTATCTACATTATTCACCGAATTTTTTCAACCGAAAATCGTCAACCGAAATCGCCCAGAAAATCAATTTTTCGAAAATGAAAAGGAGGAAAATTCGATTATTTTGTTAAATTGAAAAATGCAAAAGTCTAAAAACTGTCTTTTTTTCATCCAACGTACCTATTCCTCTCTCCACCCACAATCCCATTCAACCCAACAGTAAGTAGATCGTTTGGTCACATTAAATGTCACAAGTGTCAAACACCATACATAACATGCTTGTTATTGTTGGCGCACAGATTTAATCTGCCATCCACTGTGATTCTCCACAATTTAGACGAAGATCGCCAACATTTAAATGATATCAAAGCAAATTCATGGCGGAGAATTCTAACAAAATTGTTTTCATTTGACACCATCATCGGGGGAGGCCGAACGACCGGGCATCTACGGTGTAAGTGAGGGCTAGCAGCAGCGAGAGCAGAGCCAAAGATAAGTGAGAGAATAATAACACCGTCCAGTTGTTTTGTTGATAGGCAATTGTTATTTGGTTGGATGGATGGATGGGATGGAATGTTTGTTTGGTTCGTTGGTTGGACGGTTGTTTGTTTCGCTCGTCCATTTGGTCGTGGTGGTGGTGGTGGTACGACACTGATGTGACGACGACGACGACGCCGCCAACAACGTTGTGTACGATTGTTTGGTTAATTGAAATAAATTGAATTTTATTGTTGTTAATAAACAACACTCACAGCATGCCGGAAAAAAACCAACAGCAGCAACAACAACGATAATAAAACCAACGCCAGCGATATCAGCAAATCGGAGAACAGTCCATACCTCGCACATACCTATTTACACAAATATTTATGGAATAAGAGCAAGAAACAAAAATAATGCAAGTTGTGAATAACAAAACAACTGATTGTGAATTTCATTCCGAATCTGTCCATTACTCATACATCCACCAATTGTGTCGTTATTACCACTACCACTGTTATCCACAAGATGGGTACCTCCTATCAGCAACTGTAAAATGCTTTCTTAAGCAAATTCACCACGATGCTGTCGGCAGCGTCAGGCTAGTAGCTAACAAACAACTAGGCTTGCAATCAGCCAACCGTTGATATTTCCCTTATTATTTATCCCAAATGAGATGATACCCTCAGCAAACACACACACACACATACTCACATCTATATGCACTCACACACACGCGGACATATGTTAGCACTTGCACTTTCATATGGCAAAGATCCCGCATTCTTGCCGTACTCCATATCATTTGCTGGTGTTTTATGTCTTTTCTTTATTTCTTTGTTTTTTTTTTCTTTGCTTTTTGTAACTTTGTTTTGTTCTTTTTATTCGTAATACAATGATTCAGATTAATTTAGCCCAGCGTCGTCTCTTCGAAGAATGTGATATTTTTCTTTTTTTTGCAGTTATAGGGATGACGAATGGGACGGAATGGGCGGCCAGGCCCATTTCCAGACTGTTGTGGAAAATCATAGTAATATATAGTATTTATAGTAAGTTTGTAGGTGATTTAGTGATATAGTAAACCCAAGAGACTTGAATAACTAATTCCATTGCATATACAGGGTGAGATTAAAAAAAAAATTGCAACAAAATCTAACGCCATAATTTTTAAATTTTTTTTTTAATTTTTTTTGAATGAAAGTAAAAAATGTCGGAAATATCATCAAATTTTAGAATAAGTTTAGATTTGTTCGAATTGGTCGCCTTTGGCACGAATTATGGCCTTCAAACGGCAAATTAAACCGTCACACGCTGCCCGAATGTTGCTCTGCGGTATTTTGCCCCATTCCCGGCGAAGCGCTTACTTGAGGTGATCGACACTTTAGTATTTTTTAGTGCCAACCTTGCTTTCCAAAATTCTCCAGACATAATAGTCTAAAGGATTGGTATCCGGAGATTTTGATGGGCATTGTGTGCTGGAAATGAAGCGAGGAACCTGAGTGCGATGGTGCTGAGTCCTGTTGGAATGTCCAAAGTCTGCGGCCAAAATTCTGCATTTATTTTGATGTCACGGTCGATTAATAGGAGCGGAGAGTGACCATCGGCTGTTATGGCGAGGCCCACACAATCACCTTGGCCGCCGCTTGAGTTCTGATGGCCAACCGAAGGTGCACATTTCCAGCTGACCTCTTTGGCAAGAAGACACGATAATTTTGTTTGTTTACAAACAGCTGGACAACGAATGTTTCCTCATCGGAGAAAGCCAAATTCCGCAGTTCACCACTTTCGGCCAAGCGAAGCAACTCTTTAGCTCTTTTGAGTCTATTATCTTTCTGTTGCGGTGTAAGTTTTTAAACTTTTAGAATTTCAATGGCTTTACCCCGAGCTCATTTTTCAATATTTGACGAATGGAATATTGTGATATGTTCAACTCTCGAGACATTTTTTGGCCACTGCGACGCGGGTTTCGATCAAGTCGCTTCTTTACTTTTCGAACCATTTCTGCTGATGTTGCTGTTTCCTTCCGTCCATTTCCTTGACGTTGGACTACGCTACCAGTATCATGGTAACGAGCGTTGGTACGAGACACAAAAGATTTATTCACATTTAAATGCTGGAGTGCTCTAACGATAGTCACTTGTGGTTTTCCAGCCAAATATAAAGAAATCACACTATCCCGTTTGAATTCCATCACGAATAATATTTTTTCTGGAAAATTCTCGCCAATATGCTTTTGTACGCTTGTAAACAATATAATGAGCTGTCACTTAAATAATTTTAACAGCTGTCGGACGAATGGCTTAGAAATGACAGCAGTCTGAAGTTTGTTGCAGTTTTTTCATCTCACCCTGTATGGAGGCTAAAAGCAGACGTCGGCCTGCATACGCATTTTTTTTTTCATATGCTGTAGTACCCATTACGAATTCTAAATACGAAATTTGAAACAACTCCAAAAAGCACTAATGTCCCTAAAATCGTCAAAATATCGAATATCGGTGGGTACCGTTGTATATGGGCCATACGATATAGTGGACATATATAGACACTTATCTTCAAGGGGGTAAATAACTTCTAGTATGGATGTTTAGACAGTTCCCTTGAAGAATGTAGCTAAATTCATCAAAATGTCGAATATAGGTAGGTACTGTTATATGGGGGATATATAATATCGTGGACCTATGTAGACAATACTTTTCCAGGGGGTTAAGTGCTCAGAAGAAACTCCTTTTGTGGATTTTTAGACAATTTCATTGAAAAATTTTCCTACAATCATCAAAATACCGAATATCGGGGGGTACCGTTATATGGGGGCTATGCGATATCGTAGACCGATATAGCTCATCTTCGAACTTGACCAGCCTGCAGATAAAAGACTGACCTGTGCAACATTTTAGCTTCCTATGTTTATTCGTTTTGACTCTAACGTGATTACAACAGACGGACGAAGCGAGCATAAATTTCTTAGAATTTTACGCTGATCAAGAATATATATACATTGCTTATTCTAAACTGATGATTGCGATAAGTTACAAACGGAATAAGGAACTTAAAATACCCTCCATACAATGTATGGTGGAGTGTTATACTCTTACTCACTCTTTACCAAAGAGCTCGTTTACTTAAGGACAGCCCTCTTTTTTAGAAAAGGTACTAATAAGCTATATTTTTAAAAAAAAATGTATTAAAAACCTTCACTGACCTATCTCATTCTAACCCGTCTGCAAAATTTCCAATCAAGTTGAAGAGTTCCAAAAAGAATTTAGCGTTTTTCTATGAAAATATCCATCACACAGGACACCCCTATATGGGTCATATATCGCATTGTTGTTGTGTCTTTTTGCTATTTGTCTCAACACAATGTGGGTATTTTCTGGATACTTGTTGTTTTTGTTTTGTTTCTGCCTCCCCACACAAAGCCCTGTTGCAGGCAGGCAGACAGACGACAACTAAGCCGAATCTCAAAATCACTCTCATTACCATTCCCATTCAAAGGCATAATCTCTTTGCTGTTTCGCTCTCTCTCTCTCTCTCTTAATTTCGTCCAAACAACCAACAATTTGATTTTATTTTGTTTTGCAGCCTCTGAGAATAATAGCGGGCATTGTATCTGTGTATCTGCAGATGAGTATATTTTGCTTCGGTGCGTGCGTGTGTGTTAGTGTACTTGCTGTATTGGTATTTTGGTTGTATCTACCGAACACAACACAAAATTGTTTAATTTACATTGAAAACTTTGATGCTGTGGCTGTTGGATGGCTGGTTGGTTGACTGAGTGACTGCTGCTGCTTTTGTTGTTCGATTATCGTTTGCTGTCGCTGCTGCTGTTGTTACTACAACTACAACGCTAGTACACAACCACTGTTGGTAATACCGACATTTATTTACTAATAATTGTGAGAAGAAGATATTAAACTGTGCCGTCGTCCGTCATATCAGTGTTTTCCTTTTTGTTGTCATTTCAATTCAATCAAATGACAAGTTGTGTTGTTTCTTTTTCACGCTGGCTTGCATTTCTTTTTTTCAATTTTTTTTTTGTATCTCGTCTCAAGTGAAAATATTGTGGAAGTCTTAATTGTGATCTCGTAGCGGTTCGGTGAGGAGTAAATTTCTGAAATTGAAATAAATTTGCAAAAATAAAATAGAACACACACAAAAGAGACATACCAAAGTTAAGAAAAAGTTTCGACGTTTTGGAAGTGTTGTTTAGAGAACAATTGGTAAGTTGGGGTAGCGGAAAAAAAGTGTTTGAAGGAATTTGTATTTAAAAGAAAATAATTTTAGTGAGTGATGAACGAATGTTTAACATGTGAAAAGAATAAATGAAAAATTTAGAGCGAAAATTTAATAAAAGTGGTAGGGGGGCTTACCTACCTAACTTTCTACTCTAACGTTTTACTTTGTGTTCGCTTTGAAATATAAGTTTATTAGAAAAATATAGTGAACTACAAAAATAATAGCAAAATCTTATAAGAAAAATATAGACTCCCAGAAGGGTGCAACAATACATGGTCCATTGAACTATCTGCTTACGTTGGGCGCCAGTTTCTAACGTTTTATTCCGAGTTCGTTTTCAAGCATAAACTTTATAAAAAATACACATTGAACTACAAAATAATAGCAATATCTTAAAAGTAAAATACATACTTCCAGAGAATTGAAACAGTGCAATGTCTATTTGTTTACATTGGGCGCCATTTTCAAGAAATTGTGGAATTTTAAAATTTAAGTGTCTAAATCAAAGCGTAACCAACACCTTCAAAGTACGAATCAATTTAAAGCAATTTTAGGGACACTGTGGTAGAACGAATCGTAGCAAAAATAATTAATAGCATCATTCTGGTTGTGAAACATGCCGTTTTTGTGATGGAAGTCACTGCTATTATAATGGGATTTATGCAGAATCTATTGGAAAAGTTCTTAAAACTCAGGTTTTCTTTTTTGAAAAGCTTGCTTCAGTAAAAAAAATAGTAAAGAGGACTTCTTTTAGAAGCAGTAATAGTTAATCGTGAGAATAAGAAATATAATTTTCGTAGGAGAAATTACTTTTACCAGGAAGAAATTTCTTATTCTAAAACACCTTTCACAGAAGAAAAGGTCAAAAACCCCTAACGAAAAGGGAAATCTATCACAATTGTTTCTTAAAAGAAAACAAGTAAAACAGCATTAAGTTCAGCCGGGCCGATCTTTTTAGCACCCTCCGCCATTGGGTAATGAAAACATTTTTATATAAAAGTATTTGAATTCAAATGCGTTCCGCTTTAAACTACAAATATCAGTTAGACAGTTTGAATAACGCTGTTAAACTTTTCAAAACACCATAAAGTGGGTGAGTCCGTTATAAGGGGGCCTAAGGGGGACTTTATACTTCAAGGATTGTCATCTACCAAGATTTGAAAATAAATACCAAATTTAAAAAAATTCTTAGGTGAAGGTGTCTAGGATTATAAAAATACCGAATATCGATGGGTATCGTAGTTGCGTTAACTACTAAAACCAATTTTTGGACAAATTCGTGGAAAAATCATCAAAATACCGAATATCGGGAGGTACTGTTACATGAGGTATACAAAAACGTGGTCCTATGCATACAATGTTACGTCACCGGAGCGGAAACCCATTATGACCTACAAATACCAATTTTTAGACAAATCCATTAACAAATGTGGTTAAAATCAACAAAATACCGAATATCGGGAGGTACCGTTATATGGAGGCTATAGCAAAACCTAGACCTATATATACTATGTTTTTCCACCGGAGTTGAAACCTATTATGATCTACAAATACCAATTTTTTGACAAATCCATGAAAAAATGTGCCGAAAATCATCAAAATACCGAATATTCTAAGGTATCGATATATGAGAGCTACATCAAAACGTGAACTTATGTATACAATGTTCCGCCACCGAAGCTAGAAACCATTATTACCTACAAATACCAATTTTTAGAAAAAAGTCGTGATAAAATGTGGTAAAAATCCTCAAATTTCGAATACCGGGAGGTATCGTTATGTGGGGCTTATAGGAAAACGTGGCCACCGAAGCTAGAATCCATTGCGAACTACAAATACTAATTTTTAGACAACTCCGTCAAAAAGTGTGGCAAAAATCATTAAAATATCGGGAGGTACGGTTATATGGGGGCTATAGCTAAACGTGAACCTATATATACGACATTCCGCCACCGGAGCTAGAACCCATTGTGGCTTACAAATACAAATTTTTAGACAAATCCGTGAAAAACTGTGGCAGAGATCATTCATCAGATTTTGAAGCTCTACGTCAAATAATGTGGGCTGTATCGTGATTTAGACAGACGGACAGACCGGCCGGATAGATCGACTTGGAATTTTATGGTGATTATAATTATGAAACTTACGACGAACATTTAGGGATGTTACAAACGAATTGACGATGTTAATATACAGACCCTCCCTTTACAAGGTGGTGTGTAATAAAAGAGTCCTCCTATTGTCCAAAAAATATGGCGCCGTCTATTGTTTTGGCGTATTTACAGAGGGTAACTGAATTTCAAACTATAGGCTTCAATACTGCGTAGGCTTCAATACTGCATAGGCTTCAATGGGGATTATTGCCAGAAATTTATGATTAAGGTTGGTAAAAATTGGACAAAAAATAGTTCAGCATAACCAGCGCCATCTATTGTTGTAGGGAAAGAGGATACCATTTGTTTAGCATACTTGCAGGCGTTGCCTGAATAATGAACCCCATGTTTTATTCTCAAAACTAGAATCTAAGAAAACATTAAAAGTATGAGGCGGATTAGGAAGTACTGTAGCGAAAAAATCTATGGGAATTTTGAAATTGTTTTGAAAAAACCTTAGGCTACTTCGGAAATCGAGCCAATTTTTCCTTTTCCTCTTACCAACTTCACTTTGCCAGGAAATAGATTTCTATAATTTCGCCATCAAATAAATATGCTGCTAATTTTATAGCATAAAACATTCGCTGGGTCATTTTTAGGCAGAAATATAAAACCTCCTCCTCCCCTCATTATTTGATTCCAACTAAACTCCTTATTTAATAAATGCATTTTTAATTTCACCGCCTTCCCATTACCCACACTTCCTTCATTCATTTGCCATTTAGCTGTCTACCTTATGCAGGTTTTTATTTATTTGTATATATGTATGTACATATCTACGTACGTTTTCGATTTATTTGACATTCGAATTATCTCAAGTACACTAACAACATTTGCAAACTATGACCCTTACCACAGTTAACAGCATCCCATAACAATTGTAATGAACTTTAAAAGCCAATTTTGTTTGTATACCTGCAGATAAATGTGCCAAAACGAAGCGGAAACGGACATGCGCCCTGCGAGCCGCGACGGCAACTAACAAACATTTTGGTATTGGTAGTGGTAAAGTTGGCAGGCAGCACAACAAACACATGTAAAGACACCCAACCACAACGTCGTTGGCAGCATTAACTTGGCAGAAAATAAATCGTTAAGAGAGAGTGTGGGCAAGTGAGTGAGAGAGAGAAAACTGAATAACCAATACACCAAAAAAGAGAATTTAAGATAAATTCTGTTTGGTAATTTGTTTGAAACGTTAAGAGAGAGCAAAAACCCACCAAACTGGCTCTGAATACCAAAGAGATGGCTTTTACACGCCATCAAATCGAAAAGAGGCGTCTCATTGAATTGGTAAAAGTCAATCCGATTTTGTGGGATTGTCGTTTGCCCCACTACAAACGATCGGACAAGAAAAAGGCCCTAAAATGGAATGAATTGGGTCGAATATTCAATGTAAATGGCGAGAGAGTGCAGAGAACCTTTACCTCGCTGAGGGAAATATTTCGCCGGGAATTGAATCATGAGAAAATGTTGGGCAGCCGTTTCAAATCCAAATGGGAGTATTATGATGAGATGGCCTTTCTCAAAGAGGTCATAAGGGAGAGGAAGTAAGTAGAGGATTTTCAATTACAGCAATGGATATGGATGTAATAATAAATTTTATGGTCTTTCGTTACAGGTCACGTGAACGCGCCAAATCCAATGATGGCCTAACACCCAGCAACAACAACAACAATTCCACCACTGGCATTGATGAATATCAATATTTTGCCCCCAATGATCCGAATAATCCACAGAACCAAACCATTCCCCTACTGGCCACCGTACCCACAACCTGTCCTCTGGTGTTGCCACCAACAGCCAATGCCCTTGCCAGCCAAAATGGTTCGTTGACACCACAAATACCCAATAATCCACCAAACACTCCTGTCTCCACCATATCAGGCAATCAGGTGCCCACCGATGTCATTTTGAACCTTAACTCCAGTACCCTGGCAGCTTTGCAAAAACTCAATGCCAATGGCAACACTGCAAATTTACAACCTCCAGCTAGACCGATTTCTCGGGCCCGTTCCCTAACCATACGTTCCTGTTCCTCATCGCCATCGATCTATATTAAAGATGAACCTGATTCGTTGGATGACACCATATCTTTGGCCACCACCACCAATGGAAAAATCAAAGACTACAATAGACCGCTGCATAAAACCCATAAAAATCCCCCCTCAAAACTTGTGACCTCGGGAAAAAATCTCAACAGTTCAACACAAAATCTAGTCATTGATGAACGGGACTGCAGTGATATCGATGATGATCCCGATGTGGATATGTTGGATGATGATCGTCTGTCAATTTCAACTTCCTTGGTCTCACTGCCCAAGGAAACTGCAACGGGGGGAGCTGGCAAAAATTCCCACAAACCAAGTCAGCTTTTCCTCAAGCCCTCGGCTCATGAAATACTCTATACGAAATTTGGTGAATTTCTGGCGGCACGACTGAATACCTTGGACGAGACAATGGCCAATGAGTTGATGAACAAAATACTCATGCTAATTGCCGAGAAGTAGGCGACGAGTGGTCTGCGAGTTCCACCTAATATTCATAGTAATTAATTTTAGTATTATTTATTAGCAACCAAATTGGGTTTTTATTATCAAAATCAACTCCAAGAGTTCCAAATTGAAGTGAATTGAATTGTTTTATAGGTTAAGAATTAGTTAATAATTTTGGATTTCCATTTCAATTTTTTTATTTTTTCCTTAGTGCCAAAAAAACAAATTTGTGTAACCATAAAAGACTCCACTTAGTTGTATTTGTTTTTAGTAATAAATTATTTTTGAAAAGTTTTAAAGTATATTTAAAAAAAAAGTTTGATGATGATGATTATTTACCAACTGGAAATGTTCAAAAATTTAAATCCAAATTAAAATTTAAATCCGATTTTTTTTCTTATTCTCTTCTATCGCAATGAAAATTACGTGAAGGGATCGAAATATCTGGAAGATAAATGACAAGAGACTACTGAGTCTGGTGTTGGGAGTCTTGTACAGTTTCCAAGAGTAATGAGGAGAGGTGAGATGAGGCTAAATGGGCTTTGAGAAGTCCGAATACTTTTAAGAGTATTTCATGTTCGAAGGAATAATGAGGGTTTTTGAGAGTGATTGGGTCTCAAGAAGTTAAAAGGAGCAGATATGTACTTAAAGATCGGTTTAGTGACCTATAGATGTCCTTATGTAGAAAAGTTCTCTTCTTGGCTCCAAAAAATTTTCATGAGAATGGATTTGATTTTTACAGATGAAATCATGCATTTTTTGAATATCCGAATCTCTGTAAATTATATCACTCATTTAAATATTTTTTTTAGACCGCACCTTTTTTGGTAACCCATAGAACAGGAGTATTCCTGTGGGTAGAAAAAAAGAAATCGAGTGCACTCTATTGTTCTACGTTCTATATATTTTATTTCGAATAAGAGCGAGTAGACGAAGAAAACACTAAACAGCTCAAAAATATAAAAAAAAGCCCCTGCAATCTGAATAGGGCAAAAGCAATTTAAAGATACGTTTAGATTGAGAATCCTTTAGAAATCCTACCATAGAGTACAGCACAGGGTGAGATGAAAAAACTGCAACCGACTTCAGACTGCTGTTATTTCTGAGCCACTCGCCCGACAGCTGTTAGAATGATTCCAGAGACAGCTCCTTATATTGTTTACAAGCGTACAAAAGCATTTTGGTGAGAATTTTCCAGAAAAAAAATTATTCGTGATGGAATTCAAGCCTAAAAGTGTAACTTCTTTCTGATATTTGGCTGGAAACCCACAACTGGCTATCGTTAAAGCACTCCAGCATTCAAATGTGAATAAATCTTTTGTGTCTCGTACCGTCGCTCGTTACCGTGATACTGATAGCGTAGCCCTACGTCAAGGAAATGGACGGAAGAAAACAGCAACATCAGCAGAAATGTTTCGAGAACTAAAGACGCGACTTGATCGAAACCCGCATCGCAGTGGCCGAAAAATGACTTGTGAGCTGAACATATCGCAAAATTCCATTCGGCAAATATTGAAAAATGAGCTCGGAATAAAGCTATTGAAATTCCAAAAAGTGCAAGAACTTACGGAAAGAAAATAGACTCAAAGGAGTTAAAAAGTTGCTTCGCTTGGCCGAAAGTGGTGGACTGCCGAATTTGGTTTCCTCCGATGAGAAAACATTCGTTGTCCAGCAGTTTGTAAACAAACAAAATGATCGTGTTTTCTTGCCAAAGAGGTCAGCTGAAAATGTGCGCCATCGGTTGGCCACCAGAACTCAAGCGCCGGCCATGGTGATGGTATGGGCCGCCATAATAGCTGAAGGTCGCTCTCCGCTCGTATAAATTGACTGGCATCAGAATAAATTCCGAATATTATCGCGAAAATATTCTGGAGGGTGTATTAAAGCCTTGGGTATACCTTGGACATTCCAACAGGACTCAGGAAGCGCCACCCAAGAATGGTTACAAAATGGGGTTCCTCTCTTCATTTCAGCGCACAATGGCCACCAAAATTTCCTGATATCAATCCGTTGGACTATTGTGTCTGGAGTATTTTTTTGGAAAGCAAGGCTGCCACTAAAAACACCAAAGTGTCGATCACATCAAGCAAACGCTTCGCCGGGAATGGGCCAAAATACCGTGGAGCGACATTCGGGCGGTGTGTGACGGTTTCATTGGCCGTTTGAAGGCCATAATTCGTGCCAAAGGTGACCAATTCGAACAAATCTAAATTAATTCTAAAATTTGATACTATTTCCGACCTTTGTTGCTTTCATACAATAAAATTTAAAAAATGTAAAAATTATGACGTTTGACTTTGTTGCAATTTTTTTAATCTCAGCCTGTACATCTGTCGGCAAAACCAACTGATAGTTATTAACTTGTTTTAAAAATTGCTGAGAGCGCCTACAAGTATGTTATAAATTTAGTTAACAAAATTTTCTTTACATATGACTCTAACACGATGTGTGTTCTACCCTCTACATTACATTTAAATATCAGTCTATTCTTGCGGCTGTATTTCTTAATATTTGAGTAATAGGTAAATCCACCACTAACCCCAAAACAATTAAATTTAGCTATGACGTACCTTAGTGCATGAAGCATTTCCAATCCCTTTAAGATTTATCCCGAAATCATTTTGTCAACTCTAGTGACATTTTAAATAACCTCCGAATAGGACACAATATATACATATGATTCCTTGGGAATATCCTTTTTTTTGGAAGAGAGACAAATATTTGAAATCAAATCACGTTCATTTCGGAAGAAGAAATACAAGACGACAGAGAATGGTGGTAAAGATTTGTGGTGTGACAAACAAAACATCAAATCACCAGATAAGCGACCAAAGACAGTCTGTCTGACAGTCGGGCGGTATTAAAAGAACGATTATGAATAAATGATATGGAACCAACAAACCCAAAAAAAAGCAAAGGGCCAAGTCAAGGCAATTCCCTGAAGATTTCCATTGATAATGATGAATGTGCTTCAATGACTTTGTAGATCAAGGAGTCTGGCTGAAGTGTGGGTGGCAGTGTGTGTGTGTGTGTGGGAATGTGTCCTCTGACACATGTCCCATAGGTTTGATGTGATTTTGAAATTTTAACGGCATAACAGAGGGAAACAACCACCTTTTGTATTCCCATCCAGCCATGGGCAAATTGGAACTTGTTGCCTTGTTCCACCCATTGGATGACGTTTTTTTTTTGTAGTTGTTGCTTTATGGAAAATGCTGCAAAAGGAACTCATTAACTATGACAGACAAACGTTGAAAAGCGGAAAAGTGACAATGGACCGAAACCTGTCTACACTCAATCCTTTACAACATCATTAGTAAAGTTAGTCACATATTCCCAAACTGTCTGCAGGCTAGGCTAGCTAAGTTGAATGTGAATGTCAAAGGGGGAGCTACAGCAGCTTACTTTGCCAGTAAATTCAAAGTTGGGAATAACATTTTTAAATGATTTCCTCTTTTTTCTCTCAAAAAAGGAAGTTTTATGACCTTTAAGTTAAGAAAATGAAACAAAAATAGGTAGTCGAAACTTTTGCCAAGTTTCCGTTCAGTTCTTCTTCTTTTTTTTTCATTTCTTTGTTTTTCTATTTTTTTTTTTTTTTGGTAAAATTGAAAATATGAATGTGAAGACTTTAGGTTATTTCATATTATTTCAAAGTTTAATTTCCATATTTCAAAGGAGGGATGCATATGGATGGTGATACCATTAGTTTACAAAGTCAAATAGCTATTTGGTTTGACTTTCCTTTTTTCGTTGTCGTCCTCCTCCTCTCCTTCTTCTTAAGTGGCATTTTGGCAAGCCGAAAACTGTTGAGCTTTGAATGTGCCCCAATGTGTTTTTCATTGTTTCACATTTAGCTGAAGTTTTTGAAATGGCAAAATATTGCTGATACCTAGAAAGAAATAAAAAATATATGTGGCCGTCTGTCCAACCTTCGTGGTGTCTGTCTCACATGGTGTGAATAATATTTATTTTATGTGTCCAAAGGCTTATTGCAGTTTGTTTTAGTTCTTTTTTTCTTTTGGTTTTCTATTCTTCAAGGAAGTTATGTTATACTCTACCATGGGAAGCTCCCGCAAAGAGTTGGGAAGTTATTATGGCAGAGAAAATTACAAAAAGGCTGAACGGTCGTAAATTTTTGGTGGAGAAGTGAAAAAAAATGTTAAAATAAGTGATTGTAAAGTTACACTATATCGGAAACGTAAAAGATTGCTAATGGAAAAGATGATGTGAAGAAATTTATGCGACTTCAGATAGATCTTCAGCGTTTCCAAAATATACCCTTTTAAAAGCCATCAAGATGTTAACAATAGCAAAGGAGGCTTTTCAAATATCAATTACTTCATAATAAGCCAGTATCTATAAAGACGTAAATGAGGCCCAATAATGTGGAAATTGAATCTAAATAATACAGGGTGAGATAAAAAATACTGCAACAAATGTAACGACAGGATTTCTCGTCGGGGTCCAGGGGTTCGTACAGATATTTTATTTTTGAGACAGAAAGAGAAATACAGTGGTTTACGTTTTGATATTATGTTTTTATTTTAAATGAAACTTGAACTATATATAACTATAGATTAAAATAACTATGCTACCCGTCTTCGGTCGGGATTGGGGGTTTTTCCACTCGAGACCTGGATAAGTACTCAAGGAACGGGACAAGGATACAGGAACAGGGTGTTCAGGATTCGGGATGGATTCTCTGCGAGAGACCTGGATAAGTACTCAAGCAGGTTGCGGGATATTCAAGAATACGGCTGCAGGAGATCTTCCGCTACAGGGATATAGGATACGGTTGCAAGAGACCTTAAGAAGTACTCAAGCACTACAGGATATTCAAGGATATGATTGCTAGAGACCGTAATAAGTACTCAAGCACTACAGGATATTCGATGATATGATTGCAAGAGACCTTAATAAGTACTCAAGCACTACAAGGATCTAGGATACATTTGCAAGAGACCTTAATAAGTACTCAAGCACTACAGGATATTCAAGGATACGATTGCAAGAGACTTTAATAAGTAATCAGGCACTACAAGGATCTAGGATACATTTGCAAGAGACCTTAATAAGTACTCAAGCACTACAGGATATTCAAGGATATGATTGCAAGAGACCTTAATAAGTACTCAAGCACTACAAGGATCTAGGATACGTTTGCAAGAGACCTTAATAAGTACTCAAGCACTACAAGGATCTAGGATAGGTTTACAAGAGACCTTAATAAGTACTCAAGCACTACAGGATATTCAAGGATAT